CCACACTGCAGAAAAAGTTCTCTATTCTACATGTGGGAAAAGAGCTTCTCTGGGAACTTGGCCATGGACTACCTGGAAACTTCTTTTGCCAACCATCACTTATCGAAGCTTGAAAAATCACGAGCTCCCAACACCTAAAATTAGTTCTCAAAAGGTGTACTCATAGATAATCTTGAGAGACTATGCATGGTAGGAAAAGAAGGCATTGAATTTAGAGTCCATGTACCTAAATCTAGCTGCATGACTCAAGATTAACTGCTCAAATTTCCTAAGACTCATTTTACCAACACCTAGAATGGCCACTGTTATCATCCTCGCTGGGCTCTCGTGAAAACTAGCTTCGATGATGTATAGGGAGCCCCTAGCGAAGGGCCTGGCAACTCGTCAGGCACTCAGAAGATGTCAATTTCTTTTCTTCCCTTTTGATTGATGATCTATTTACTGGAACAGAAACAAAATATAATATGTGGGGCTCAAGGAATTTACAACAGTTGGTCAAGCAGAAATCATACCTATAAAAGGTGCAGAGCTATGTATAGCCGGGTAGGATAAATATCTAGTAATGGTATGACTCATAGTGCTATGACAGTAAAGAAGAAAATGACTCTAGTGGGTGGGGGTGGCAAGGGAGGGCTTCCTGGAAGAATTTGAATCAGTACTTCGAGAATGGGTGGGAATTAGATGGATAGAGATGAACAGATAGGGCCAAGCCAGATATTAATAGATATAGAAGCACCTTACGAGAACGTACAGGGCAAATTCTGGTAATATGCAGACTGGTCTTGCTAGCAAACTTTTTGCATATTGGAATAGCTGAACGTAAGGCTTTGGTAAATGGTCATGGATCTTAAATGTTGGGCTAAGGAATCTGGTCTTTATCTTGTAATGGAAAGCCAGTGAAGGCTTTCGAGCAGGAAAGGAACATAGCCAAATAGTATCATCTAGAAAGCTTGCAAGTATACAACGTTCACTCCAGTGTTATGAGCCATGCCGCTGTGAAAAAAATCCCTTTCATTATACTAATACTTAGTACATCACTGAAGACCGACTTCAGAACTCCAAGGAAAACATTTTATGAATCAAAAGCTAAGTACAATATGTTAGCAATTAAATGAGATAACATAACAGCCGAGGCAGAACCACAGTTTTCCCCACCACGGTTTTCAAGCTGCTGCAGAAAGAAATGCTTCTATCATCTTCCAAGTTACCAAGCCATTTTGTTTTGATTTTCAGAAGGCGGGGAGAGAGGAACCGAGAAGAGTATGGAGGTCAACAGGATTCAAAGCTGTCTACTCTTTAATCAGAAGGAATTATTAAGGAGAGTTAGGAAGGAGATTTGCTCAAAACAAAACCGGGACTGGGATGAGTTTCAAGTTACTGGGACTCGCTCCCACCCCAGAACAACAAACGAAGGTGTGTAGTTGGGAATGAGACTCTCACCACCGCTCTCTGCCGAAGTTTCCGGTGCATACCTCCCACGGCTACTTTATTTACTGCAGCTGGCCAAAGTTTTATAGCCTGTTTCATGTATTAAAATTCAAATGTGGAAAACATTACCAGTATCCTCCTTGAATTTTATTTTTTGTTGTTGTTGGGGGGTAGGGAGGGTAGGTTTTTTTTTCTTCCCCTTAAACTTCCTTTTTATTGTGGAATGTATCAAACGGTCAAAGGCTAACTTCAGACTGACTAAATTCAAAAACTATTTCCTTTGTTCTTCTGTTTTTGTTTTAAAATTCATACCCGTTTGCACAGGAAAGATAGGCCAATCCAACCCTTTTCACACACATTAGCGTTTCAGGCTGAGGAATTCAGAGTCTGGGGACATGCTGGATGGTTTTCAGGAAGAAAGGAGAAAGACTGTAAAACCCCATTTGCTTCAAAGGGCAGCAGGTTGTTGACGTGCCATGTCTTTGGAGTTACGCTACGATCTGGTCGGCTCTGTGGTTGTCCTTGATTGCATATTAAATGTCTCCAGAGAAGAGAACAGGAAGTTTTTCCCATCAGCAAAATTGGTGGCTTTATTGCTCCTGTATAGTTTTTTTTTCCAAAATCAAATCAAAGAAGTTTCTGTGTAATAATATTGCCTAATTATTTCTCTTTTTCTACTGTTCTATTCAATCTTCTCCCTCTCCCTTCCACCAGGGTCAGTCCAACTTCTCCTATCCAAAAATAATTCTAGTCTTTTCCTCCCATTCCACCTCTGAATCAGATTCAAAGAAAAGGCAATTCAAAGGTCAAATAGTTGAAAAAAGCGTCTATGTATAGTTTAATATTTTAAAGAACCACTTAACCTACATCTGGTATTTAAGAACAAACTTCACATATTTATGAAAAAGACTGTCTCTGAAGCAATGCCCCGGGCGCATGTTACATCCGTTTAACATATGCAAAACGAACACAGCTACAGAAATCAAACTATTTTTCTCTTGATTGAGAGCAGATATACAGAAATGGTTATAAGTCACAGATCTGGCTTTTAATAAAGCCAGATTTCTTAATTAAAAGCAGTATTGTTTAAACATTGTAGTTTTAAAAAAAGAGCTGTACAAACGAAAATCTCATATTATATGCATCCCAAGTGTATTTAACACATTACCTGAGGCCAAGCTAAATTAAAATCTAGACTTTCCTTTTGTCAACTCTTAGCAACTGCCACGCATAGACAAATAATTTTTACTCAATGATGAATTTTTAGGGTAGAGGTCAAAGAAAAGAAAGAAAGAAAAAAAGATTTGACTTTGGCGTTCAAAAATATCTTTCCACATTTTAGAAGTGAGTTCATTGCTTCTATTTATAAACCAGTATTTTTGGTTTCAAATTGGTTGCAGGTTTCAATATTATATCGTACAGAATGGTACTCTTAATCTTAGTCTTTTATTAAGAGAAATTGAAAGGAAGACGGAAGAATACTATTGAGCAAGAACTTAAAAGAACTTCGTAATAATTTGCACTTATTGTCCATTTCCTTTTGGAACCACCTTTAAACAAGACATACTACAGTGAAGATGGAAAATAGACTTTTATCCAAGCAACTCTGAAAGAGCCTCAAGGACAAAATAGGACACCAAGGTGTTTAGTGATCAGGCAGGAGTTTGTAAGGAGCAGAATTACACAGAATCACTGATAAACTTACATTACCATCCATGTGGTCACCCCATTAATTGTCATCAGTTAAAATTCTGTTAAGAAGATTCTCTGAATCTTTGTAATCATCCAAAAAAAAAAAAAAAAGAACATTCTCCAAAATAATGGGCAAAATTAAAATTCCAATTGTAATACGAACAAATCTGCTTAAATATTATTCAAATATAGACTTATTCATAAATAC